AATGGCTGCGGGCAGCCCCTGGAAGCCAGACTCATCCTTAAGATGCCAGCGTAGACTCCAACGCCTTTGACCAGGACTATGAGAATCACCTTTATACAATGTTTGCTGTTTTTGTTGGGGAAAGGTTGACTTTGGCTCACGGATTTAGAAGGCCACATCCGATGTGCTGGAGAATGCATGGGCCAGTTCACATCACGCAGGCTGGGAAGGCAAAGGAGATGCTGCCAGCCATTTGGCTCTTTCCTTTCCCCTCTTCCATCCTGGCCGGCAGCGACTGGAAACTTGGTGTCCTCAGCAGCGGCGAACCTCTCGCTGAGCAGAGGCTGTCCTGTGCATTCCTGAGCGACACCTTCAGTGTTGTGTGCTATTGGGGTGTTAGGGAGCATATCAGCAGTGTCAAGTACAAGTGGCTGATGAAGCCCCTCAGAGGCACAACAAATGAAAGAGAGCTGGAAGGTTAGTTCCAGCCAGCATGAGGCAAGGCCAGTGTTTGAGGGGCGCGTCAGCGAAAGGGAAAATCACAACAGCTCTGGCCCTAAGGACATGGAACATTTTTTCTACTTTTCTGGCCTTTTGTTTTCCTGCCTTGGAGCGCTCGGTTCATCAGCCCATTTGTTGATTTGGATTTGGGTTATTGAGTTTTTGTATTTTTTTTTTTTTTTACTGATTTTAGGTATTAATCCCCTGCCAGATGTATAGTTGGCAAAGGTTTTCTCCCCCTTCGTAGCTGCTCCTGCTGTCTTCTTGCCTGTACAGAAGCCTTTGGCTTCATACAGCCCTCTTGATCAGTCCAGAAAGCCCTTCCGAGACATATTTTAAAGTGTTTAGCCTATGCATTCCTCTAGCAATTTTAGAGTTCCAGGTCTGACAGTCGGATTTCATGCATTTTAATGGAGTTTTACAAGATAAAAGATATTCTTTTGAAATCATGTTCAAGATTGTGAGGTGTCAGGGAAATGCAGTTAAACATTGCTTTCCAGTTTCATCCCGCCCCTGTGAGAATGTGGGTCAGTAAGAGAACTAATGAAGACAGATATTAGTGACAGTGGGGGCAAGAGGAGCCCTTACACACTGCTGGTGGGAAGGCACACTGGTGTGACCACTGTGGAAATCACTATGCAGGTACCATACACACGCACACACAAATACAAGTACTGGACTTGCGTAAGCAGCTTTAGGGATCTAAGGCCGCTTCCCACAGGTACCTTCCCACAGGTACCTTCCCACAGGCACTTGATCATCCATCTTAATGCCTTCCAGCTGCCAGGATACACGGCCAGCCCAGATGCCCATCACAGGACTGATAAGAGTTCCATTCTCAAACCCCCTGCCTGCATGAAGATGTCCACATACATCATGACACACACTGGCCCATACCCATGTGTGACACGCACACAATAGTAAATAATAAAATTGTAAAAAGTATAGTGTGTACACACAATGGAGTTGTATTCAGCAGTAAAGAGGCACAAAATCATGCAAGTAGCAGAAGAGATGGAACTAGGGGTCATCATGTTAAGCAAAGTAAGCATTAATATCACGTTTTCTTTTTGTGTGCAGGATCTAGGGGTGTGTGTGTGTGTGTGTGTGTGTGTGTGTGTGTGTGTGTTGCAGGGCTAGGGCTTAAACCCAAAGCCTTATACATGTTAGACCAGGACTACTTAGTTACATCCTGACCCTTATTTAAGTTTTCCTTTTCTTTTTTGAGTTGCCTGGGCTGGCCTTGAACTTTCAGTTCTCCCTTCTCAACCTCCTATGTCACTACTATGATTGATTCTGGGTTTTGTCTGGGGCGTGTATGTGTGTGTATGCACAGGAATATGTGTATTTACTTGGAAGCCAGAGATCAGCCTTGGCACTCCATCCACTTTGTCTTACTTCCTGACATTTGCTGACATGAGGCTGGCTGACCAGTGAGCCTCGGGCATCGACCTGTCTGCACGTGTCCAGAGTGGGCATGACAATGCTGCCCGGCTTATTAGCTTGCGTTCTGGGAAGGAACTCAGGTCCTCACACTTACGCAACCATTACACCCCTGATGGGGCATCTCCCAGCCCTCCACTCTGTCTAAATCTCTTTGAGAATGCTCAATTTAGTATTTTAGGTCAATTTCTTGCAGTCATGGAGACTTTGGTAGCCAGCAGAAACCCAGGTCTACTGTCTCCTGCCCTTAAGGCTTAGCATAGTTCCCTAGGTCTTGTTATTATTGCTCTTTTGTTCCTTTCTTTCTGTGTGTTTGTTTTGTTTGGTTGGTTAGTTTTTTGAGACATGATATTTTTGTCATAGTCTTGACTGTCCTGGAACTAGCTTTGTAGAGCAGGCTGACCTTGAACTCACAGAGATCCTCCTGCCTCTGCCTCCCAAATGCTGGGATTAAAGGTGTGCACCCCACACCCACCCTATTCTTTTGTTCTTATGTCTTTAAACAGAGTCTCATGTAGCCAAGACTGGCTTTGAACTCCTGATCCTCCTGCCGCTACCTCAAAAATGCTGTGATTATGTAAACATACCTAACTTGAATTTGCCCTATCTTGAGAGTGGACACATCTCAGCTAATTCTCAATTTCTTAAAACCAAACTGTGTCCCCAGGGTCAGGAGGCCATGCAAACAGAAACACGGGCAAGGAGGATTGGCAGAGCCACGTCTTCCTTTGCTGGGAAGGTGGAAGGCTGAGTAAAGAAGTATCAGATTTTGCGAGATGAGTGTCCACGACAGCATCTTACATCTTTCTGGTCCTTATTTCCCAATAGAGGAAGTGGACTGTCCAATGAGAGGTACACTGGTATAAACCATTGTACCATTCTCCAGGTCCCAAAGATGTGAATGAAGCTGCTACCATGGTTACTGCTTCCTTGGGGAGGGGGAGGGAACTGTGAATGTAGTTCTGTATCCTCTGCTTCTGGTCTGCCCCTTGCTCTTAGAGTCATGAGGCCGTGTATTTACGGAGCTGGCTCTCATGTGAATAGCAATCACCACCTGTCAGCTTGGGCTCATGGAAGGAAGGCAGAGATGACTTTGTCAGTTGATTAAAGTGTTCTCAGCCAACATGTCTGGACAAGTATCCACTTATCTCACACCCAGGGATGATTGTGACCATGGCTACATTGAGACATAATATTGACCTGCTTGTCAACACCACCTCTCATGCTGCCTCTCCATCCTATCCTTGGCCCCATTCTCTTTGTCTTCTCTTTCAGTAGCTCCTGTGTGGATTTGGGGCTTTAATTCAGGCCATCTGCACATGCCTAAGCCTTCCAGAAATGGATAAGGTCCTATTTCTCACCCAGTTCCCAGGAGTCAGAGTTGTGTGCTGTTGGCATCTTTGCTTTGAGACAACAGTGACAGGCGGCCAGGGGCAGGGTGAGAACCTTCCAAGTCTCTATCAGCCTTGCCTAACCCATCACGTACCAACACCCAAGTTTAAGTAAAAGCCACATGCGCATCCTCTCCACAGCCACTCAAGCCTGTCCCCAGGCCATGCTGCTTCCTTCACCTCCCCACGATGAGTTCTGAAGGTGGCAAGAACGGAAGGCCCCCGTGTGTGTGTCTGCAGCTGAGCCTAAGCTCCTGGGCGCCCAGCAGAGCAGACTACATTTGATTCCCACCAGCACCGTTCAGCTTGAGATCCCCAAGAACATTTCTGAACTGAAAGAGGAAAGCGAATCCTTTTACATTTCAGGTTTCATCTGTGAAATGGGAGTATGGATGGGGCCTGGTTTCATAGGGGATTTGAGGACTTCATTCATGAAAATCCCTTAAACAGGCCAATCTGCTAGCCCTTAATCCCCTGTGTCTCTAACGAAATGAATGAATGCCTTGCTTAGGGTTTCTGTTGTTGTAATGAAACCAGGGCCAAAGCAACTTGGGGAGGAAAGGGTTTACTCGGCTTACGCGTCCATGTCATTATTTTGTCGCCAAAGGAAGTCAGGACAGGAACTCCAGCAGGGCAGGGACCTGGAGGCAGGAGCTGATGGAGGCCATGGAGGGGTGCTGCTCCCCATGGCTTGCTCAGCCTGCCATTTTGTAGAACCTAGGACCACCAGCCCAGGGATAGCACCACCAGCGATGGACTGGGCCTGTCACCAGTGATCACAAGTTGAGAAAATGCTCTGCAGGCTGGCCCACACCCCGATCTCATGGAGGCATCTTCTCAGTTGGGGTCCCTCCTCTCAGATGACTCTAGTTGTGACAAGTTGACAGAAATCAACTTGTAGCCAGCACAAGGAGTGAATGAATGAATGAGTGATTGCAAATAGAGTCTTTACAAATGTGTTGTATGTGAAATGTTCACATTGAGATTTGATTATTAAAATACAACAGAAGTGAACAGACATCAATTTCAATATAACATTTAAAGTTAGTTATGTGACAACTTCATACATGCATACAAGATTGTATTTTGATCCCCACTCCTTCCCCCAACTCCTCATAAATCAACTCCTCAATCCCTACTCCAATTTCATTTCTTCTTTTTGAAAAATAGCCCACTGAGTCCGGTCTGTGTTGAGCCCAGGCTCCTGTGCAGAGCCATTTCCTGGGGCACGGGCAGCCTGTAAGTCACTCCCTTAAAGAAAACAGACTCCTTCTCTCCTTGCAGTCCATAGTTGTCAAAAGCTCCGTTACTGGGGGAAGGCTTGTGAGCCCTTCTCCCTGCTTGCTGGAATGTGCAGAGGGCCACGGCTGTTGTGGGTTCATCGCTACAGTGGCTCTGTTGTACCCAGAAGTGTCACACACACGTGTATCCCAACAGTGTGTGTGGGAGGGAGGTTGAACATGAGTTCAAGGCCACACACCTGTATCCCTACACTGGGGGAATGGACCCTGAGTTCAAGGCCACACACCTGTAGTCCCAACACTAGGGGGCATGGAGGATCATGAGTTCAAGGGCAACCTGAGCTATCTTGTAAGAGCCTAAGCAAAACAAATCAAACAAAGTACAACTATTTTGGCACCTTATATAAGTGTTTCCCACTATGAAATGCCTTTTAATTCCCCCCAGGACTATACTTTGTTATATGAAGAGGCAAAATATTTTCAACTTCAGCCAATGTTGTTGGAGCTGGAACGATGGAAACAGGACAGAGAAACTGGCCGCTTTTCACGGCCCTGTGAGTGCCTCGTGGTGCGTGTGGCCCCGGACCTTGGAGAAAGGATCACCCTCAGTGGGGACAAGTCCTTGATAGAAGAAGTCTTTCCAGAGATTGGTGATGTGATGTGCAACTCCGTCAATGCAGGCTGGAATCACGACTCCACGCATGTCATCAGGTTCCCACTAAACGGCTACTGTCACCTCAACTCAGTCCAGGTATGTCAGCATACACCGTACGGCACCAGTGACTCTCCTGCAGGGGGCTGAGGAACTGTCATGGGCAGTACTTACATTGGGTTGGTGGTTTCTCAGCATCCATCCCATAAATCCACAAGTCTTTGCTGAGCACCTACTATGTGCCCGATACTATGTGTACCTACTGTGAGAACAGGTGATGCAGAAGAAAACACACAACAGTTCTGTGTTTGTGGAGTTTGTGTCTCAAAAGTGGGTGGGGAGAGACATTAACCCTGCCCATATAGTAAGAAGAGGGCATCCGGGGCAGTGTTTGTGTTAGTGTTTGTCACTGTAACAAGCACCTGAAAGAAACAACTTCATTTGCTTTGGCTCATGGTCTCAGAGGTGATCACTTGGTTCACATTGGGCTGCAGTGAGGTAAAACATTGTTACCGACAGGTGTGGTAGAGGAGAGTCGCTCACCTTATGGTGACCAGAAAAAAAAACAGGGCAACAAACAGGAAGTGGCCCTGGCATGATGTGTCCCTCAGAAGTACATCTTCAAGTGAGCTACTTCCTCCAATCAGGCCCTACCTCCTGACAGCCATTCACTGTGAAGCCGTCAGCGGATCAAGGAATTGATTCGGTTCGTGTCCTCAGTGACTGAGTCCACCAGCTGCAGGACAGGCTTTCTCTGCCAGCCTTGTGGAGTGTACTCCATACCCAACCCCTAGTGGTCTGCCAGGCAGAAAGATCAAGTTGTAAGGAGCCCACAGTAGAAGAGCCCTCGGCATGTTGAGTGCTATCAGGAATGTCACTTGAAGGAAAGGAACCAGAATGAGTTTGAATAGTACAGGAGGCTAAGGATGATGGGAGAAGTCATGGTGAGCCTCGGCGAGATTTTCTGCTTTAGTGGGGTTTGGGAGAGAAGCGTTGCGGTGTTTGCTGTTAGGTTCATTCGCTTGTGGGAGACGAGAGGAAAGCCAGAAGATGAATCTGAACGGAAGAGGAAGCTGCTATAACTTTCTTCTAAAATAAAAACTCCAGGGTCCAAGAATGTAGATCAGTTGGGCTTACCCAGCATGAATTGGGCACTGAGACTGATTTTTAGTACCCCATGAGCTGTGGTGAAAACCTATATAATTCTAACACTTGGGAGGTAGAGGCAAGAGGATCAGAAACTTGAGGTCAGGGCTAGAGAGATAACTCCATGGTTAGGACCACCTGGTTCAGTACCCAGCATCCACATTGGTTGGCTCACAAGTGCCTGCAACTCCAGTCTGATGATCTCTCCTGGCCTCCTTGGATAACTGCACACAAATGATGCACACCCTGACAAGCAGTCGTGTGTGTGTGTGTGTGTGTGTGTGTGTGTGTGTGTGTGTAAATGAAATAAACACATTCAAGGTCATCTTCAGCTCATTAGCAAGTCCAAGGCCAGCTTTATCTACATTGAGACCCTGTCTTGAAAAAAACAAAACAAAACAAAACAAAAAAAACCGAACAGTAGATGATAATAGAGAAGGAGGAGGCAGGTCACCAAGCGATGATCGATGATCTGGGTCTTGGTCTTGGTCTGAGTGTCTCAACTGCTGGTTTCACAAGCTTTTCTGACAGAAGTGAGTAGAACTGTCATGTTCTGTGGTGGAGACACCTTTGGGAGAAGAAAACATGGGGGTGGGATTGATGATTTGGTGCTATGTGCCTTAGATGCTTATAGGTGCTGTGTCCATCTTAGCTCAGGGTGCTGAGTATCTGTTCTGCACCCCCAGCCCTGGGTGTGGCCAGTGGGTCACTGTCTTCTGACAGCAAGCTAGTGTGCCTGCCTTGTGGTGAGGACGCAGAGGCACACCCGAGTCTTCCCCAGAGCCCTGCAACACTGAACGCTATTAAAAGGCAGTAGGCCCCTGCTCTCTTTAGTTGGAACTGGCCCATGACTTTGTTCACTGTGTGGTCATCAGTGGGCTGGGACATAGCTCAGTGGCAAAGTGCTCACCTAGCGAATGCAAGCCCTATCAATATTCCATCCCCAGCACCACTAAGTGCTCTCCAAGAGTTGAAAGGCTAGAAACTCTATGGGATCATGCTGCCTCAGGGAAATTGTCACGCACTGTTTATAATTTTTCAAATGTATGAGCAATTGTCACAGAGCAGAATAGCAGGAAACTCAGAAAAATGAAACCTGCCAGCATGCGGAGGAAGGTACCCAGTCTTACTAGGGTTCCAGAGGGCAACAGTTGCATTCTCATCTTTGTGGATGGTACCCACTGGAGGTATGAGGTGATCGTACACAGCTACACACACACACACACACACACACACACACGCACGCACGCACGCACACTAGGCTGTGTTGTCTCTAAATGCTTGTGAAGCGTCAAACTTTTCTCCTCCCATTCACCCTTCCAGGCACCCAGCTGACCAAAGGCAGAGTAAGAAGGTCTCAGCCCCTCCCCTTGTCCAGTGAGCACCTTCTGTCTTCCGTGTGCCTGATGCATTGGCCAGATCATCTGTGGGAGTCTCTCCTGTCCCACCTTCATCACTCATACAGCCCCAAGCCATTCTTGCTTCCCACTCTACCCACCACCAAGAGGCAGACACCTGTCTGTCAGCACACAGAGGCAGGGCATCAGATACCTGCAGATATACCCAGTCATTTAGACATTCCTAAAACCAAGGAACTTTGCTATGGACTTCGTGTTTAACCACCCTGTGAGTTAGCTCAGCTGGTAGAGGTGCTTGCCTTTAAGTCTGATGACTTGAGTTCAGTTGCTGGGTCACTCAGTCACACAGAGAGAGAGACAGAGACAGAGAGAGAGAGAGAGAGAGAGAGAGAGAGAATACATATGTAAATAAATAATTGAAAAAAATAGAATGAAAAGCAATGTCTTCCTAAGCAGTTTACGAGGCACTCTAACAAGCACTTGGCCGCACGCAGGCCAGCACGGGCCACACCAGATACTCGGCACATTCTGTGTATGGAACTCTGGGCCAGAAGACAACCAGCGTCCATGACGCCCCTGGGGGAAATAAGCATGAGAAAGAGGTTTGTTGCTGTCTAGTGGCTCCTCGTGCTCAGATGTCCTCTCCTAACGGGGCAGAAGATCCTTTCAGAGCACACTGTCACCTGATGGGTTCCATTCCCCCCTCTGCTAGAGTTCTGCCCAGAGCTGTCTGCCACCATTGTATTCACCAGAACTCAGGGACGGTCCCATCACCCTGTCCTTAGTCCCATGAGCGGATGTGCAAAGCGAATTCACCTGCCCCAGCTGAGTACTGTGGAGAGCGCTTGCAACTGTTCTCAGTCCGGGCCTTGTGTGTGAAACACATCCTCGTTTTTTTCCAGTCTCTCCTAGTACATTATTTTACTTCTGTATTCTGTGTAAAAGTTGGTGATAAGAACCGATAATTAAGAAGCTGGAGCCAATGTAGCACAGTGGCAGAGTACTGGCCTAACATGCACAAGATGCTGGCTTCAATTCCTAGCACTGCATTTAATTAATTAATTAGTTAAACTACTAATTAAAATTAGGATTGCCTTGCTTAGTTATAGTTAGGGTTTTGCTTGCTTATTTTGAGCCAGACTCGCACTGTGTAGCCCAGGCTGGTCCCACACTCTTGATCCTCCCGCCCTTGCCTTTCCAAGTGCTGAACGTGACATCACACATGGTCCATGTTATTACTGACAGGTTGAGAGTCAGTTAACAGCATTTCAGTCCACTCAAAACAGAAGAAAGCTGAAGCAAGCTTATCTTTAAAGTTATGGTTTACGGTGTCCCTTTCCTTCAGAGATGTGTGCAGTCTGATTCCTTCAGAGATGTGTGCAGTCTGATTCCTTCAGAGATGTGTGCAATCTGATTCCTTCAGAGATGTATGCAATCTGATTGATTCCTTCAGAGATGTGTGCAATCTGATTGATTCCTTCAGAGATGTGTGCAGTCTGATTCCTTCAGAGATGTGTGCAGTCTGATTCCTTCAGAGATGTGTGCAGTCTGATTCCTTCAGAGATGTGTGCAGTCTGATTGATTCCTTCAGAGATGTGTGCAGTCTGATTGATTCCTTCAGAGATGTGTGCAGTCTGATTCTCTCCAGTGAACTATCTGTTGGATTGCCAAAGAAACAGAGTGCGCGCAGTTAGCTCCCTGTCTCCCTATCTCGGGGTCACAGGGTGGCTTCCCGTATCCAGGTATCCAGAATACAGATACTAGGGTTTGATACCAGATCCTAGCATTTGACTTGGAAATTAAACAACATTTAATTAAACAGCAGTTAGGCTAAAGGAGACCTTTAAAGTATCTTATTGTTTGTTTGTGGTCCTAGGGGTCAAAACCAGGGCCTTGTGATGCTGGGCAAGCCCTCTCCCACAAGTGACAGCCCCAGCTAGAAATAGCTTAATTTTCTCACGAAAAACCATTGCCTTCATTCTGGAATGTACATGAATTGAGCTTTGGAACGCATCTTTGGTGTGTTTATGTGGCTGATACACTTGCCTTGCCCCTAAGGAGATGTCTGCCTTGTTGTCTTCACAGGTCCTCGAGCGGTTGCAGCAACGAGGATTTGAAATTGTGGGCTCCTGTGGGGGAGGAGTGGACTCGTCCCAGTTCAGTGAATATGTCCTCCGCCGGGAGCTGAGGCGGACACCCCGCGTACCCTCAGTCATCCGGATAAAACAGGAACCACTGGACTAAACAGACATATTTCTTATGCAAAAAGAAAACACACACAACCTAACAGTATACGAAAAGGAACGTTTGTGTGCAGCTGGGACAGTAAACCAAGCTCTGAAGCTACAATTGAATAAAAGACGTTTCTATGCTCTAGAAATCACACCTGTGTTCATATGGGAACAATTGGAATCATGATATCCTCAAGATGTAAAAAAAATATATAAATATATAAATATATATATATATGTCAAAAGGTAGGAAATGCAGAGAGAGAGAGAGAGAGAGAGCTACGGTGGGTGCTGCGATGGCCACGCGTGTCCTGGGCCTCTGAGGTCTCTGTCCAGTAAATAAGCCATGCCAGGGAGGACAGAGTCTCCTGATGCTGTCAGTTGCCAACAGTCATGCATTGTTTCTTTCTTCCTTTATCTTTCTTCCGTTTCTTTTCTTTTTTTTTAAAAAAAAAAAAAAACAAAACACCTCGGCTGGTGTTTCTTTGCAAGTGGAGGTGTCATGTTTCATCAGGCAGGGACCAGGAGGGAATCAAGGACCACTGGAGCACACTGCATGGGACGTACATAGACAGGACATTTGAACTGTGGTTTGTACAGGAGTGGCACTTTTTTGTCCTCCTCACAACCGTGACCTTTCCTTGTTTTTATGCTGATTGTTGATCGTTTGGCAGAGGGGCCAGAGCTATTTCTTGCTAGAGATCTCCAGTTTCAGTCTGCTGCTTTCCTACAGTTTTTTCAGATTTTATAATGTATTAAATACAATAAACTCTGTTTAAAAAATGAGTCCTGTGTAGACCACACATGTTGGGATAGGATGGATTGAGATGAAATTTTTCCTGTTTCCCTGTGTTGGGCGTCAGAAAGAGCTCTTGGCGGCTGGAGCAGCTCTAAAGGCCCACGGACAGATAAGGCTGTGGCCTCTTCTCTTCCAGCTTGGCCAATGCTTCCTGCTTCCCAGGCTTTGTTATTCTGCCTTGTTGAATAAGATAAATCACTTTGTGTTTTTCTTGATGAGGAGGAAGAGGATGGAAAACAGGACCTCATTCAAGCTAAGCTTGAATTCTAAAACTGATACTTCCCAGGCCAATCTCTGTGTCTCCTTCCTCTTCTCGATACAGCCTGCCCTCCCTCCCTCCACCTTCCCCTACACAGCCCCTCTCCCTACAGCCCTCCCTCCCTCTACCTTCCCCTACACACCCCTTCTCCCTACAGCCCTCCCTCCCTCTACCTTCCCCTACACAGCCCTCTTTCCCTACAGCCCTCCCTCCCTCCACCTTCCCCTACACAGCCCTCTCTCCCTACAGCCCTCCCTCCCTCCACCTTCCCCTACACAACCCTCTCTCCCTACAGCCCTCCCTCCCTCTACCTTCCCCTACACACCCCCTCTCCCTACAGCCCTCCCTGAGGTTCCTGTAGCCCTTGCAGTGCTCAGAGTCAGTGTGTCACCCATCCAGGTCCTAACTTCTGATCCTCATGCCTTCACTTCAGAATCTGGGGTCACAGGTTTGCACCACCATGCCTGGACTCCAGTCTTTATTCCTACAAGCTTCTCAGTCACGCTTAGGTTATCTTGCTGCAGAGGGAACCAGACCAATATTACGTGGTTTAACAAGTGTTCTTGCTTGTGGTTCTGGGATTCTCAAGTGCACACTGGTCCTGGCTGGTCTGCTCCTGTTCTATGATGTCATCCAGGGGGTGGCAGAGCCGTGATGTCTTACCAGGTGCCTGCCAGCACTCCCTGCGGCTAAGACCCTCTGCAGCACGATGCTGCTGTAAGTGCTCTGAGAAGCAAGGGATGGAAAGTGCAGGGCTGTAAGAGGCCACAGCCAACCTGTGCTATGGCTGCGGTCTGTTTTCTGAGCAGACATAACCGGTTCAGACTGAGGCAAAGTTCAGAAAACCCATCGGATGAGGACAATAACAACAAATTTGTGGTCAACTTAAATGCACTATAGTATCAGCCAAAAGATCTTTCAAGAGAGGTGTTAGAGCTTCACAACTAATAAGCTCCCGAATAATCACCTTACCAGTCAGAAGGTACAAACCCTGAGATGCCCATCTTTCTTTAGAACGAAATCCCCAGCTTTTCCAGGACACTGGTGACTCTGGTCTCTCCTTCCCGATGCCTTTCTTCCATCCTCCTTCCAGCCACCCCAGACCACCCTGCATGCTGCTAAGATTGGCAGGTAAGGTATACTGTGTTTTGGTGCAGCGATGCTCCTGCAGTGCTGGGCTATTGCCATCCTGAACTCACCTTCCTGGTTTAAATTAAAAAACCTGTGCCTGAGGACACCGGTAATGAAAATATCATTGCTACTGGAACTCAAAGTAAGCCGCTCCTGTCTGCCGCCGCCTCTGACACAGAGGCAGCCTGAACGTTTAATTTCTTTAGTGACTGCCAACCAGGCTGCCACAGTCATCCATAATGTCCCCTTATATGAGACTAATAAACCACAGAATTCAATGGAGACTGCCAGGGCTGCCCCTGCCAGCTGCTTCGTCATCCCACTAAAAGAAGAAATTTCACCATGGTTTTTAGAACAATCTATTTTCATTAGGCAAGGTATCCCTGGATGAGTAAAATGAGGACCATGCTCTGGGTCCCACTGTTCCAATCAAGTTCATATTTAGTGCTGCGGAGATGGCCCAGTCAGTAAAGGGTGCCTTGCAAACACGAGGGTGTGTTTGAGCCCCAGAACCCATGCAAAAAGCTAGGCTCAGGATAATGCTCACTGGTAAGACGGGAAGTAGAGACAGATAGTTTTGGAGCCTGCTGGCCAGCTACTCCAGTCTACTCAGCGAGGTTCCAGCCTGTGCTGCAGCTCTCCAACAAAGAAGGTGCCTGAGAAATGACCCTCTGCCTTCACACACACAGGACACGAGACGAACTTTATCCAGCACCCTCTTTGTGCAGTTAGCACTGTCCCCCCAAAATGTATGTGTTCTCCACTGACTGCGACTATTTTGATCAGCTCAGTGGAACTTCCATGTTCAGACACTAAAGCACTTCAGAAACAGTAGGTCAGTCACAACATAAGTGGGCCACAGCCTCAACTTCTTCTATCACTTTTTCATTGTCCAATAGGTAGTTCATATGCGAATATGACCAGCTGTGCTTAGAGCAACCTGGACAGCTGTGCTTAGAGCAACCCAGACAGCTGTGCTTAGAGCAACCCGGACAGCTGTGCTTAGAGCAACCCGGACAGCTGTGCTCTTTCCCTCTGAGAATCTGATCAAGGACTGCATGTGATGGCTATCAATAATATCTTTTTAGCGACCTTCTGAGTTTTCCTTTGAGAGGAGGGTGTCCCCAAGTGGACTCATCTAAAGAGTCTAGCTCACTTGTTCTTAACACAGCACAAAGCCTTGGGTTTGCTTAACTCCTCCCTTGTCGGTAGAGTCCAAAGAAGGAATTTTCTGTTTCTGCAGGAACACTGCATAGCGGATGGCATGTCCTTACTGCCTCACTTCCTAAGAGCTGCTTTGGTCCGTGTTAATTATGACAATTTTTTTATTGTTGTTCTTGTTATAGTTTGAGACAGGGCCTCACTATATAGCCCTTGCTGGCCTGGAACTCACAATATAGACCCTGCCCCTGGCTCCCAAGTACTGGGAATAATGATGTGCCAACCTGGCTGGCCGGTTTTTTTGTCTCTTGCATAAAGTAACTTCTACCAAATGTAAAACTTGATTTTTCTCCTTATAATTATTAATTAGTTCATAGGGTGATAATATAAGACTGTGAATATCTATTTCCTCCACATATATGTCTGCTGGTTTTACCATTCATTGGCAGTATTTTCTTCAATTAATTTTTACTTTGTTGGTTATAAAAATCTTAAAAGTGTTCTTTGAATGGTCAAGCCATTGATTCTTGAAATAACTTTTTTTTTTAAGAAAATACTTTTTTTTAAACCTGGGGCAGACAAACCAAAATCTCTAGTATATTCTTTCTTAAGAAATACTTTGGAAAAACAGAGCACGCCTAAACTGGTTTCCAAATCGTGGGTAAGTTTCCACATAGGAAGAAGAGCCATGCACCGAGCGGGCACCGCGTGCCAGGAATATGCACCGAGCAGGCCCTGTGTACCAGGAATATGCACTAAGCGGAACTGAGCAGGCACCGTGTGCCAGGAATGTGCAGAGCGGGCACCGTGTGTCAGGAATATGCAGAGCAGGCACCGTGTGCCAGGAATATGCACTGAGCGGGCACCGTGTGCCAGGAATATGCACTGAGCGGGCACCGTGTGCCAGGAATATGCACTGAGCGGGCACCGTGTGCCAGGAATATGCACTGAGCGGGCACCGTGTGCCAGGAATATGCACTGAGCGGAACTGAGCGGGCACCATGTACCAGGAATGTGCACTGAGCGGGCACCGTGTGGCAGGAATGTGCTAACCTTTAACTCTAGTGGTTCTTTTCATCTGGATGAGCACACAGGTTTATCTTGTTTCTCAAGTAAGTAAGACTGGGAGAAATGGAGTAAACTGCATAATGGAAGTGAGTGTTCCCTTAAGTGTTTACAGGAGAGGCAAAATAAAACCACACCACCGAGAGAGAATTACGCTCAAGTTGTAACAGCAAAGAAGTACAGATTCTTTTAAAAAAGTTATTACATTTTTAATTTATTTGTATGTTGTTGTTGTATCCACACCTGTGCCGTGCTGTGTGGAGATTGGTGAATAAATTGTGGGAGCCGGTTCTTGCCTTCTACTGTGGAATTCCTGGCGATTGAACAGGACCCGGGTTGTCAGGCTTGGTGGCAAGTGCATGTCTGTTGATCCAACTCTTTGATCTTAAAGTAGATTTGTTTAAGATTTTGTGTGTGTGTGTGTGTGTGTGTGTGTGTGTGTGTGTGTGTGTGTGTTATGTGAGGAGGTGCCCTGAAAGGCCAGAAGAGTTTCAGATCCCTTGGAGCTGGAGTTATAAGCAGTTGTAAATCATCTAACATGGGTGTTGGAAACCAAGCTCTCCCTTTTTGCAAGAGCAGAAAGCACCGTTAACCACTGACCCATCTCCCCAGCCCCTGAAGTAGATTAGCAATGTATTCCTAGAGACAAATACTTTGAGCATCTCATAACATTCTGGTGCCTGGTTTGGGTTAGACCTTAATGACTATGAAATGGTTCTGCCCTGAGTTGCTGGGGTGTAGTGAGCAGGGTTTTCACATCCAGTGGCAGAAGGAAGTTATCTACATATCTAACCATAGTCCAAAGCACACTAAGATGTGCATAACTTCTTATTTATAAACCATGGACTAGAAAAAGGTCAAATCATCAGGGGTCATATCTAGGGAAAACATAAAAGAAACCATCCCCAGGGAGGTAGTACTGGGGAAGCATGTGCCAGGAGGATTGGCTAAGGGCAGGGAGGAAGTTGTCTCTGAGCTTGGGATAAAACACTGTGTGGGGTACAGCTCGGCTGAACTGGAAACAGAACAAGGAACAGTAGAAAAGATGAGTTAAATCCACTGGGAGAGGTGGAGTTGAGCCTGAGTCCAAAGCCCACCTGCTGGAGAGTCACTGAACATGCTCTATAGATATTCATTGAGGGGCTCTGCAGGAACAACAGGCTGGGAAGTCTGTTGATGGGAAGGACAACTAAGGGGCTGCCTTCTCCACCCATACATCTATAATCTATAACACAGGCTAAGAGCTGGCAACTATTAAGATATATGAGGAAAGAAATCATTACCTCGAATGTCTGGGCGACACGGAGATGCCTAAAGGGGCCAGGAAAATCACATTAACTATTAGCAAGAGGCAAAATCCTGCAGCATGTA